GGGGGGGAGGCTCGCACAGGGTTCTTGGACTACATGGAGCTGGATGAGCTTGAAGGAAAGCGAAGACTGAGAACGCTGAGAGTGAGAGAGGCATTGAGGGAAGAACGGATTCGGACAAGGAGGGACGAGTGTGCGCGCCAGCTCCATAGGAGACTCCCGGAGAGATCTGGTGAACGGGGTGAGACTTCAACGAGAGGCTCAGTCTTCTCCCCGGGGTTTAAAGTGTGCAAAGTTCTACGGATGAGCCTGCAAGAAGACCCTGCAACAAAATGGTGTGTGTGTGTGTGTGTGTGTGTGTGTGTGTGTGTGTGTGTTTAACGTGCATTTTGGGGCTGGAGAGATGGCTCAGTAGTTAAGAACGCTGCCTGCTCTTCCAGAGGACCTGAGTTCAATTCCCAGCAACCACATGGAAGCTCACAACCATCTATAATGAGATCTGATTGCCCTCTTCTGGTATATAGATACATGCAGACAGAACACTCATACCTACCTACACACACACACACACACACACACACACACACACACACACATTTAAAAAAAAAACAAAAAACATGCACTTTGGTCTAAAGAGAATAGATGTCTTTCATATTCTCATACAGATTTATGCCCTACACACTGAAAACAATGTGCCAGGCAGAGGTGGTGCTTGCCTTGAATCTCAGCACTTGGGGGGCAGAGGCCGGCGGCTCTCTGTTCAAGGCCAGCCTGGTCTACAGAAATTCCAGGACAGCCACAGCTACACAGAGAAATCCTATCTCGAAAAACCAAAACCAAACAAACCAATTAATGCAAGCAGTTGCCAGACTGGCCTATGTGGAGACAGGAAAAAGGCCCGAAGAGCCAGTGTAAGGTGGGTGGGGCTGGAAAGATGGCTCAGTAAAACATACTGGCTGCTCCGGGTTCGAGTCCGAGAACCCACATGGCAGCTCCCCACTGTCTGCAACTCCAGTTCTAGACTTCCGGGCTTGGCTGGCTCCCAAGGGCACTACAAATGTGTGATGCACATACATGCAGGCAAGACATCCATATTCATAAAATAAAAATTTAAATAAATAGGATGGGAGTGTGATCAAGGAAAACCATGTCAGCCTCTGGCCTCCACATACCCACACACATACACACACACACACACACACATGCATATACACACATGAACCTAGAAGACACAGTCACCAAATACATGAACAAACATATCCACATATAAACCCAAAAATTAAAATGCTCTAGAAGTCAAAGTTAAGAAAGGGGCTAAAAAAAAAAAAAAAAAGTTGCTGGGCGGTGGTGGCACACGCCTTTAATGCCAGCACTCGGGGAGCCAGGCGGATCCCTGTGAGTTTGAGGCCAGCCTGGTCTACAGAGTGAGTTCCAGGACAGGCACCAAAGCTACACAGAGAAATCCTGTCTTGAAAAACAAACAAAAACAAAGTCCCAGGAAAAGATAAGGCGGTTACCAGAGTCAAATACAAGGGAAAGGCTTTAAAAACGGAAGGAATTAAGGCAGGAGGGTCCCGAACTCAATGAGCCCACATTGAGTGGGTGGTAAGAGGAGGTGTCACTGGTGATGTCACTGATGAATAGAGCAGAATGGCAGGTGCAGAGCAGGGCAGCCCTGGCAAGCGTCCTGCCTGGTTACCCAGCTCAGCAGTTGAGGAGGAAGTTGGTGGTAGAGCCAGGAAGGCAACAGGAAAGGAAAACAGGAAGTCAGTCAGAAAAACTAGTCCGCACAAGTGAAGGCCTTTGTAGCCAGGCGTGGTGGTTCCTGTGTGTCATCCCAGCACCGGGGAGGCAGAGGAGGAAGGATCACAGTTCACTCCAAGACCACCGGAGTAACCAGGGGTAACCCCGAGCGAGAGGTTCGGTTCAGTGAAGAGCACCCCCGTAGCCAGCAGAGGCCCTGGGTACCAACACAGCACCGTGGGAACATTGCCACACTCTCAGGAAGGGATTTTCTTTCTTTTCCTAAGTTCTTACTTAAGGAATATGTAAGTTCTATTTTTAAATTCTAGAACGTGACACACTTGAAGGGCAAAATGTTTCCCATCCAATAATTCTTTATCTTGCTGGGTAAAAGCCTCTTACTAATTTTTTTTCAAATTATTTTTTAACTGACAGAAGATCCATTTCCAGACCAGCTTTCACCGTGGCCTCTTCTCCCACTTTTGATGTGTGTTAGTATGTGAGCCTAGGTGTGTGGGTGCACATGTGCATGGAGGCCAGAGGTCAACATTGTCTTCCTCTATCAACCTCCCTGGCCTTTCTTAAGGTTCTCTCCCTGAACCTGAGCTCACTAATTCAGCTAGATCTGTCTCTACCTCCTGAGGCTGGGATTACGGGCACGTGTTGCTACATCCAGCTCTTCACATGTGGGTGCTGGGATTACAGGCGCACGTTGCTACACCCAGCTCTTCGAGTGGGTGCTAGGATTACAGGGACACGTCGCTACACCAGCTCTTCATGTGGGGGCTGGGATTACAGGGACACGTCGCTACACCAGCTCTTCAAGTGGGTGGGTGCTGGGATTACAGGCACACGTCGTCACTACACCAGCTCTTCATGTGGGGGCTGGGATTACAGGCACATGTCGTCGCTACACCAGCTCTTTGCGTGGGTGCTGGGATCCAAACTCAGCTGTTCACCTTTCACAGCAAGCACGTTCGTTACTCAGCCAGCTCCCTAGCCCCTGACCTTTTCTTCCAGAGAAACAAAGTAAGGTGAACTCCTAAGCATTTGTTAGTTACTTCCTTCACAGGTTGGCAGAAGTAGATCAAGGGAGATAAGCATCATTTCATGCAGTTCTGAGTGTTTACAACTCCGTTTCAGAGCTTGGAGAAGCACAGGGAAGCCAAGGGGGTGCTCAGGCAGAGGAAAGAAGCTGGAGAAGAAGGCACCGGCTGGTGTGAGGACACGAAGACGCAACCCTGCTGAAGAGGAGGGTCGGTAATAACAACAGCGTTCATCTGCAGGCACCACACCAAGAACCTGCTGCCGAGGGGGAGGACGGGTCTGCCCAGCACCAGCACTTCACGGCAATGAGGCCTCCCAGTACCTACGGCAGGGCCCAGCTCCCCCGGCAAGGCTGTGGGCTAAGTGCCTGCTGCCCAGTGACAAGTAATGCCGGGCAGCCAAAGGCACCCGCCGTACTTAAGTGCAGAGGTGGGCTGGAGCACAGTGCAGCCCGCAGAGACACACACTGGGCATGTGCAGGGCACGCTCCAGCCCAGGACCACGGAAAGGAAAAACGGGAGGCAATGCAGAGCTTGGGCAGAGATTAAATAACCAAACAGCTGGGCATTTATTACAAAAGCTGGTTTTCTCCCCTCCCTTCCTATGTATTGTGTTTTCCCTTTATGTCAGTGACTCAATCGTAAAGTGATGAGAAGTCCTCGAAATTAAATAACAAGTCTGTCAACGCATATTTGAGTGTAATACAAGAGGTGGGAGAACATTCCCTAACCCAATGTGAATTAGGTGTCCCTCAAAATTGCACATTTTCCTCCTAGTTTGTTTACATAATTTAAAATGTATGTACAGAATGACCTTAAAGTATTGATTCATATAGAATTCAGTCTGGAAGACATACACACTACCACCTTCTAAAAAGGACAGGCCTCCGGCCCTAACAATCCACTAGCATGATTCAATACATACATTTCACACCCTTGCAACAAAGAGTCTTTGCCGTGTTTCTAATCCTAGTCTTCTTCTGAGGTAACTCCAGGAACCAGGCTGCGACAGAGACCACTTTTCCAAGAATAAGGCTACAGAGCAAGGCTTCTCGGAGGGTCTTAACGTCCCCAGACTGTAAATCTGAGGTTGGAAGCTCCGTGCTGGAATGTTCGAGATAACTTAACAGTTCATGAACAGAAGACTACTCCTAGGAGTGAGTCAAATGTCAGTGAAGTCGGAGAACAAGCTGACGACCATTCTAGAGAGGACGAGGACCTCCAGAAGCCACAGAGTGACTGAGCCACAGCACAGTGACGTCATCTTCCAGCCTCAGTAAGGTACTCTGTCCAAGGCGGGGCCGCAGCTTCACCTGGCCTGAGCTCGGATTCACGTCTTCATGGTGATGCGCTCTCTGCACACTGGCTTTCAGAGGGTCACCCGGCGGTCTTCTCATCAAACCAGCTCGCATGACTCAGCCTCCTGTTCACTGAGCCCTTAATTAAGGCTGACGAACAAGGGCCCAGGACCAAAACATGTCCGGTTAACGGGATAAGCTGACAAGCCCGACGAAGAGGCTGGCAGGTTCCTTTTAGTACATTCACAAATATAGTAAAAAATGGTCAGTAACGGCTCTAGTGTACAAAAATAATTCGACAGTGTCGGGGGCAGTGGGCAGTGGGCAGGACGCCTGACGAGCTGAGGTTCCGTCGGGCTGGGAGGACTCCACACGCCGCCGGAACCGAAGGCCTCCAGGCCCCGTGAGCGTCCCATCCGTTCTCCCGTGGGCACCGATCACTCACTCAGTATGTGAGCTTGTCTCCTTCGCACAAGAGAGAACACTTCCCTCACTATTAACGGTGAGATAAACAGAATTGTACAACTTGTCTGTGGAGAGAGAAAAGTTTTTTAAATGAACAACAACTTACTTTTGGTAGAGCATCATGACATGAACATTAGCGATGGATTTGAGCAAACACATTCTGACATCACAGAAAGAAAGCGGTCCATCTTCGGTGAATTAGAAAACAACTTTTGAAAATTAGAGTTAAAACCACAAACACACAATGTCACATCAGCTGTCAAAAATAAATAAATAAATAACTGAAGTGTGCCACTACCATGGGCAAAACAAGTTCCTAGGGCCCAGAAGAAAGTTGGGCTTCTCCTTTCTTTTTCTTTTTTTTTTTTTTTTTTTTTTTTTTTTTTTTTTTTTTTTGGTTTTTCGAGACAGGGTTTCTCTGTGTAGCTTTGCGCCTTTCCTGGAACTCACTTGGTAGCCCAGGCTGGCCTCGAACTCACAGAGATCCACCTGCCTCTGCCTCCCGAGTGCTGGGATTAAAGGCGTGCGCCACCACCGCCCGGCCTTCCTTTCTTTTTCTTAAATTTTTAAATTTTTGTTTGTTTTTGGAGACAGGGTTCTCTGTATCACAGCTATGGCTATTCTGGAACTCACTCTGTAGACCAGGCTGGCCTCAAAATCACAGAGCTTCCCTGGCCTCTGCCTCCCGAGTGCTGGGAATAAAGGTGTGCGCCACCCCCACACCTGGCAAACGTCCGCTTCCTTACGGCAGATCCGGGTTTTCACTTCAATAGTTCTGGTAGTTTCGCATCAGCAGGTACTTCCTTCTGGTTAGCAGGTCTTTACAAGACTTCTTATTCGTTTTGTAATGTATTACTTAGTGGGGGGAGAGCGCGAGCACCCACGTGTGCAGGTGTGTGTGTGTGCAGGTGTGTGTGTGTGCAGGTGTGTGTGTGTGCAGGTGTGTGTGTGTGCAGGTGTGTGTGTGTGTGCAGGTGTGTGTGTGTGCATGCAGGTGTGTGTGTGTGTGTGCAGGTGTGTGTGTAGGTTTGTGTACAGGTGTGTGCAAGTGTGTGTGTGTGCAGGTGTGTGTGCAGGTGTGTGTGTGTGCATGTGCAGGTGCCACAGCACATGTGGAGCTCAGAGGACATCTCAGAGCAGTCGGCTCTCGCCTCCCGCCATGCTGAGGTAGGCGCTCACACCTCGGCTAACGTGCTACTGCTACAGCTTGGCTGGCCTGCAAGCTGTTGGATCGTCTTCCTGTTTCTGCCTTCCTTCTCGCAGGAGGAGTTCTGGGGTCCCAGGGGTGCACCACATCTGGCTTTTGATGGAGAGTCTGGGTATCGAACTTGGCTAAAGGGCTTGCGCTGCGGCCTGGACTTTCCCTGAGCCATCTCCTTTTGGTTTGTTTTGCGGGGCTCGGGACTGAACTCTGGGCCTTCAGCACGCTGCAGCCCTAGCCCACAAATGGATCCTGGAAGCCAATGTCCTTTTTCTTTAAAGACAAAGTCTTCCAGGCTGGCCCTCAACTCATAATCCTCCTGCCTCTGCCTCCCAAATCTGAGTCATTAGAAGCTGGAGAAGAGAGCCTAGGGACTTGCTCGTGTTGACCTATCCTGTTCCTGCTTGGGACAGGCCGGAGGACAGCTGCTTAGAGTCAGGTGACAGTGGCCAATTAGGATGCCTGGTTTCAAGGCTAAGCCATCCGCAGACGAGCTCAAGCTGACCTGACATGAGCATTGTCCCCTCAACAATACAACAGAATATGTCACACGCCTTCTCAACAGAAAGCAGCATCTTAGAAGCAGGGCCTTTCTGGCTGTTTCTCAGAAAGCCCAACATCTCAGCCAAGGCTCTGGAGCTGAACACCTGCCCCTGCGGACGGTGTTAATTAGAGCTCCCTTCTCGGTAACACTGTTGCCTTGCTGCAGACTTCTCCAGCCCTGTTTAGCTGCAAGCAGCCAGTCAGCAGCCCAGAGGAGCACACTGATTAACGGCTGGCGAGGGATGAGTAAGCCTCTTGCTTCTCTGCAGTTGTAAATGGCCACACTCATTAGTCTCAGGTCGGGACAGGCAAACTCAGGGGCCTGGGGCCCCTTGAGAAAAGAAATGAGTCTTCCCAGCCTAATCAAATGCTACTTTTCACCCTAAAGTCTTTAAAAGGAATCAGCAATTTTGTTGGTTTCAAGTAGTGATGAAATCAAATGTTCTAAGCTAAATAGGAAAACTGGTTAAAGAAAAAAGCACATGCTTACCATGAGAATGAAAAAGTAGAAAACCCACATCCATCCTAGGTTGTCTTGGATCAAAGACACCAGATACTAAAAAAGAGAAAAGGAAATTATGATATAATTCTTTATAAATTAACAAGATGAGAGCTGGGGACATGGCTGGCTCTATTTGATAATGTTTAGTTAACGTTCACAATGCCCTGGGTTTGACCCCCAACAACATGTAACTATACATGGTGGGGCATGGCTGTGATCCAGTGCTTGGAAGGTGATCAAAAGTTCAAGGTCATCCTCTACCACATAGCCACTTTGAGAACAGCCTAGGCTGCGTAAGACTGCCTCAAGAAAATGGTGGGGGGGTGGGGGGATGGGGAGGTGGTCAGGAGCTTGCTGCTGAGTCAGACGGCCCCACCGTTAGCAGCACTGGCTACTCTTAATCATAACTACCTGTCTGTCACTCAGGAGAACCCATGGCCTCTTCTGGCCTCTGCAGGCACCAGATAACCACACACATTCATGAAGGCAAAACACTCATACACATAAAATAGAAATCAATGAGATAAAGTAGTTGAAAAGATTAGACAAGACTACTTTGGGAAATCAGGAGCTGGGGTTTCAATAACATCTTGTCGTTTACAAAGCTCTTCCACAGACATATTCCCATTTTGAGACAGGGTCTCACCATGTCCAGGCCGGCGTGGAACTCACGCTGTCAGTCTGAGTGCTGGTAATGACTACAGGCTTGGCCTGCTACCCTGGTTCCGTGTGCATTTTATTACTGGCTCATTCTGTACAGAACTGCAGAAGGAGCTGTATGCCAGAGGTTTGCTCTTCAGAGGAAGAACAGCATCCTCAGTGCCTCCTGCTCCCTCCTCATCTCCTGGTGGAAGGTCCTAGAGCTGATGCTTTCAAGAACAAGCTAGCTCCCCAGCTTTTCTTTCTGTCTCCCTTTTCAGTGTTTCCGAGGCACAGATTTGCTGTGTAGGCCTCAGCAGCTGGCAGCTGGTAAGTCAATGAGAGCGACCTCAAATGCCCTTCTCCCTTCTCAACCACACTATCTGTTCACCGGGTTACTATGTTACCAACCTCCCACAAGGTAACTCCTTCCCTTTACTTTCTTTTGTTTGTTTTGGTTTTTTGAGAAAGTGTTTCTCTGTGTAGCGTGGCTGTCCTCACTTTATGGGATCTGCCTCTGCCTCCCAAGCGCTGTGATTAAAGGCGCACACCATCACACCTGGTCTCTCTCTCTCTCTTTCTTTTTCGGAGCTGAGGATTGAACCCAGGGCCTTATGCTTGCTAGGCAAGCACTCTACCACTGAGCTAAATGCCCAACCCCCTGGCTTTTCTCTTTATTTCCAATTATTGAAAAGAAGCTGAGAGCACTTAACCCAGCGTCCTCTCCCTCCCCCATTACAGGAATATCTAACATAAAATTACCATTTTACAGTTTTTTAAGTGTATGTGTGTCCATGTATGCACAGGTATGTGAGCTTGTACCCAAGCGTAAAAGCTGGAAGACGGTATCAGGTGTCCCCCTCCATCACAATGCCTATTCTTTTGAGGTTTTCCTGGGCATAGGGATCAGATTTTCTCAGCTAGGCTGGAAGCCACTGAGTCCCAGCAATCCTCCTGTCTATGGCTCCCTCAGAGTTGGGGTTACAGGAAAGCCTAGGATTCCCAGCTTGTTACCTAAAGGCTAGGATCCCGATCGGTCCTCCTGATTACACAGTTCTTCCCCCCAGGGCTACCTCTCCACTCCCTAACTGTAACCATTTTTAAACACACAGGTCGGCAGCATCAGTTAGTCACAATGATGCACAGCCACAACAGCTACTTATTCCCACATCGTTTTTATCTATAACAAAAGCTCTGTGAATCACAGCGCCCACGACACTAGCCACTGGCAAGTTCTATTTTGTTGTTTTCTTCTCCCCAAAGCCAGGGTCTCACCCTCTAGCCTAGGCTGGTCAAACTCATTCCTTAGTCTAGGACAGCCTTGAACTTATGGCAATCCTCTTGGAAGTCCTAGTCTTCCAAGTGCTGAGATTACATGCATGTACCACCACACCTGACTTAATAACTTCTAATTTACTTTCTAAAGCTGTGAATTTGCCTACTGTAGATATTTCATGTAAATTGTTTTTAATTTCGCATTCATTTAGCAAATTTTCAAGGTTCAAACATACAGTAAGCACGCATCAGCATTTCATTCCTTTTCATGGATGAATAGAATTCCACTGAATGTATATAGCACATTTTTTAAAAATCCATTCATTTGTTGGATACCTATTTCAACCTTTTATCTACTATGAATAATATTATAATTTTTTGGGGGGGAGAATACCCACATTTTCCACAAAAGTTCCACCATTTTGTTTATGCTCCTATCAGGCTCTGATTTTGCCTGGACACACGGATGTGAAACACGTGAGTGCCTGGTCCTGTGGAAGCCAGAAAAGGGCACTGGATCCTCTGGGACTAGAGTCACAGCCAGGTGCAAACCACCATGTGGGTGCTGGGAACTGAACCCGGGTCCTCTGGAAGAGCAGCCAGTGCTCTACCCACTGAGCCATCTCTCCAGCCTCTATTTCCTGCCTTTTAATTATAGCCACTAGGAACGAGGATCAGATCTCAGTGTGGTTCTGATTTGTATTTCTCTACTAAGGCTATTGAGACTCTTCCCATATGTTATATTAGCCATTTTTATGTATTTTTCATCAAATTTGTCCCTATGTTTTCTTTGAAGAATTTCAGAATTTTAGCTCCTAAAGTTAGATCTTTGATCCACTTTGGCCCTGGATGGCCTGGTTGCCATTACACAGCCCCGGTCGACCTTCAACTCAAAGCAATTCTGCTGCTTCTGAGGGCTGGGATTACAGGTGCACACCATCACACTCAGTTTGGAACAATCTGCTTTTCAAGGAATGCAGAGTCTGGTACAGAGGACAGAGATCCAGACTGGCAAGTTGGCCATCATGTGTCATAGGTGTTTCCTGGAGGCATGCACCAACTGCTAAGGCAACCAGGAGGAAAAACAACAAATTCTTGAGAATTTGTTGAAATTCAGGGAAGGCAGAGGCAACACCACCACTTGGAGCAGCCCAGGGAATGGCTGAGGGCAAGGCTGACGGAGTTTTAGCCTTCAGAGTTTGGGAGGCAATGGCAAACCATTCAAAACTCCCCAAGAGGCCAGGCACAGCGGCGCACACCTTTAACATCAGCACTCAGGAGGCAGAGGCAGGTGGATCTCTGAGTTTGAGGCCAGCCTGGTTTACAAATCTCTTGAGTTCCAGGACAGCCAGGACCATCTGGAAAAACAAAACAAACAAAACAAACAAAAATCCCCAAGAGAAGGGATGAGCACAGTTAAGAATGATTTATTCCTGACCCACTCGCCTGACTGTGGAGGTCAGTCCGACAGTGACCCGAATTTACCGTTAGGATCGGAACACTGACATGTCAGACAGACAGGACTAAACCAAGTCTAAACAGTCTATTATCCCAGGCCTCGGGAGCTGGGTCGGGAACTCAAGGTCATGCTATTCTACACAGCAAGCTCAAGGTCAGACTGGGCTATGTGAGAAACTGTCCTCAAACAGGAAAAAAGAAAATTCCAAGTAAAATGACTGCAATGCTAATTACGATTACCTACCTGACTAACTTAGAGAGCACTAGTGAGGAACAATCTAACAATGGGGCCAGAGAGGTGGCTCGGGATGAAGGCCCTTGTCTGAGCCTGACGGCCTGAGTTCCAGCTCCAGGATCCATAGAGTGGAGAGAACAGATTCTGGCAGGTTGCCCTGCCTTCCACACATGTGCCGCATGGCATGCATGCCCCCACACATAGGCTCACACACGAAAATACCTAAGTGTATAAAATAAAATGCTTGTTCGCCACCCCCTCAGACATGAAGCCTTCTGGATGGGTGACAGTAGCCCCGCCTGGTTTCTACCTCGGAGCACGCAGCAGGAATTCTTCCACTCTTGTTAACTGTTTATGTTTTTGACCCTTAGAGACATATCCTACGTGGTCAAATAGCCTCAGGATTGTACAGCACTTTGGAAGCAGCATGTCTCCTGTGTGCCGGCAGAGTGCTGGATAAGGCTGCAGGGGAACCGAACCAGGATGCCGCCCTCACGGACCCTGCATTACTCCAGCGAGCAGACACTGATGAACATCCACTACATGGCTGGACAACATCAGGACAGTCTACTGTTCCTCATTGCTTGCTCCCACACTGACCCCAAGCATTAGCTATCAGTGATTCACCCTGCTCGTCAGGCAAACCAGCAAACTTTAAGTCATTCTGACTACTACAGTAGAACAAGAGCCTAGAGCCTAGAGCCTAGAGCCTAGAGCCTAGAGCCTAGAGCCTAGAGCCTAGAGCGTCTCCAGCATCCACACGGGAATTTACAGCTCCACGGGTTCCATCTCTGCACGTCTGCAGACTTCCGGAGTTCTGCTTCCCAGACGACTCTGCTACAGGATACATACAGTCACCCTCTGGGACCAGTCACAGATGTCTAGGCATGGAGAAACAGACTGTACTCAAGAGGTAGCTACACACTCTATGGCCATGTGAGATGCCTTCCATATTAGGTCTCAGGGCTTTCTGAACAGTGGTTCGCAGCACAAGAGCGCCACCTACCGTGGGAGCCAGCAAGCACACGCTGTTCTCACCTGGCCCACGGCAGCACCAATACTCCCAGTTCCATCGACAATTCCCGTGACAGTCGCCAGAGCCTCACTGCTCCCTTGGATCAGCTCTTGGCGGCCCAAGTCTGCAGAAATAGCCGAGCTAATCATATTGGATGGTCCGCCAATAAAAAACCCTGAAGCCATAAAGAGAACAGGTTCATGTTAAAATATAATCCCTAACTCTAGCCAGGTAAGAAAAAAAAATCATCCCAATGTCTTAACATGTTATAACATGTCTTAACATGTTATAACATGTCTTAACAGAAAACAGAGGAAGTGCTCTCAGACAGCATTTTCAAACAAACTGGTATTTACTTTTCTAAAATCCTTTCCTGAATGGTGTGACACCCTGGTGTATCTATGGTACCTAGGGCTAACAATACAACAGAACACACAGTCTTCTTAATGCTTGAGCCACTCAGGTCAGTGAACACACTGGAAAGAAAGAGAGGGCCGCCGGGCGGTGGTGGCGCACGCCTTTAATCCCAGCACTCGGGAGGCAGAGGCAGAGGCAGGCGGATCTCTGTGAGTTCGAGGCCAGCCTGGGTTACTGAGTGAGTTCCAGGAAAGGCGCAAAGCTACACAGAGAAATCCTGTCTCGAAAAACCAAAACAAAAGAAAAGAAAGAAAGAGAGGGCCAAGTCGGCGCTGTTTCAGAGGTACAGGGATGATGCTATCTGCCCTGGCTCTGAGAAGGCCAACCCCTGGCTGGGTGTGGCTTGGCTCTTGTAAACTGGGTCATCTTATGGGGAATCAGAGTCACACATCTTGCTGAATTACAAAAATTACTATTTTTTTAAAATAACATGTTCCTTAATTGTGCCCAACTGCTCTACCTAGTGCTCAGGAAAATACTGACCCAGTTTGGCACAAGAGAACAAGCTAACTGTCCTGGACTTCCATAAGCTGGTGGATGGAATTCCAATGTGACACCTTCCCAAGTCACTTTCTGAATCCAAATGTTTAGGACATCTGTCCACAGGGACAGCTTCTGTCACAGAGAGGGAAGCTGCCCAAGGAGGCATCGACCTGACCTCCCTATCACTTGAGTTCTACAGAGCGGAGTTTTCGTGTCGTCCATCTGCGGGAGACAGTCTCCTCCGAACTCCCAGAGGACCAGCACAGTGAACAGAGCGGCCTGGCATACCTGTGATGGTCATCAGAAGCGCGTTGATGGACTTGTTGTTCGGGGAGCCTGTGAGAAGAGACACACAGCACGGTGACCGGAAAAGCAGGTTTGTGTGCCTCATCAACAGCGCACAGCGGCTGCATCTCCGACACCTCACAATCCCTCCAGAGACAACAAAGACGGACAACTCTCCCCGCCTGCCTCTTCGGCTTTTGTCCTGTCTGCCTCTGGCTGCAGCTCTAGCTAATGAGATGTCTAAAGGCAGAGAACGACTCTACCGTCTTTAGAACACACACACACACACACACACACACACACACCAAGGCCTGCTAATTACCATCTTCCCGCTTTTGAAACCTTGCCCCCTTTTATGGTTTTATCAGCTCTAATGCTGCCCCTCTGGAGCCGCCCCTCAAACAAAGCAATGCACTCCCAAGCAAGCTTTCAGACAGATCCACAAAGCAGGAGAGATGCCAGTTTCCTCTCCACACAAATAAAACCATGTGATGACAATTCCCAGGCACTCGGAGCTAATCCCGGCTCTCTCCACGGCTGACCGCTGACTCTGGGCAAGGGTCTACCTTCAAGAGATCAGGAACCAAGGCGGCTGCAAAGGAATACTCACGACTATAGCCAACAAGGGAGCCAACCGCCAGGAAGAGGCTGAGGGCCAGCACGGGGGCTCTCTTCTGCAGCACGTCGGAGATGAAGCCTTGCAGAGTCCCACCTGGAAGCACAAAGAGCATTGACGTCAGCGGAGCGCAGCCCTGCCTGGGCCAAGCCCTCTGAGGCAAGCTCCTCGGGGGCCACGGACGCAGCGAGCTCTCCCACGGTGACGGCCGTGGACAGGACACCTCAAATCAATCATCCAAGAGAGAAAAAAGAAAACCATCCAAACCACTATTACCCATATTTACTGTTTCCCCTACCAAATAAAGAGTGAGGTGGTCCTGGATTTTCCTCGTTTTAATTTAAAGCAGACGATGGATTAACTAAGTGAACCTGTACTCCCAGCTCCCTGGAGGCTGGAGCGGGAAGATCATAAAGCGGAAAGCAGCTCGGACTGCCTAGTGTGAGCTTGGGGGCTCGGCCTCAGCACCACCAAGTTTAGGGAGACGCCTCACGAGCCATCGACAGAGCCCCTGAGCTGCATCTCCAAACCAGCTTCTTTCGTTCATTCGTTCGTTCGTTCCGCACCAAGGCACCTTTAACTTAGGAAGGCACGGAGTGTGGCAGGTCTCAGGGTGTCTCCATCACCTGTGGCTCTGGACCTAAGACTGCCAACAGCTGAGTGTAGACATAATGTCTGTGTGCCACCTAAGGACCTACTGCGCAGTTCGTGTGCTCAGGGTGGCTTGGACTTAAAGTACCTGTGTGTATGTAAATATCACAGAGACAGAGACTTAGGTAAGGTAGGGCCATAGTGTGTCATCTGTTGGTCTTATTTAAAAGTTTATTATTTCCTTGTTTGTATTTCTGTCTATACCACAAAGCCACTGGTAAAATCTGTTATAGAACTAGGGTTATACATATTTGCTAGCGAGTACAAAGTCCAGGGTTCAATCCCTAGGCTGGAAAAATAAACTAAAATAAACTAAACCGCTGTATACAGCAGGGCAAGTGCAAACACACACACACACACACACACACACACACACACACACACACACACACACACAGAAAAGGGACATTCCTGCTCTTCCTTCCTCATATCTGACAATCTGCCCAGGAAGGTGCTGTGTTTACTTCCTCGGCCAGAGACACTGGGACAGCAGAGGAAGCCAAAATGAACACATTCCCACTCCATCTTGAATCTCTCACAAAATCAGCTTCAAAGGCAAGCCACCCCGAGAGCACACAAAGGGGCTGCGTTTAAAGAGATCCCCGAGTGTTCCCAAGACAAAAGGGCCGATCCATCAACCACAGACTAAGAAAAGACAGCCGATGAATCACAGCCGTCCATCTCAGGCTGGCCTTCCTCTCTATGGACTTTTTGTTCTCACACGAGTGTGCGGGTTTACTGGTAGGGTGGCTTGGGAGAGACGGCTGTGGGGCAAGCCGTAAAACTTCAAATGAGGCAGGATCTCCTAAGTCCGGAAGGAGGTGCACACGCGCGTACCTACAATGCCTCCGACGTCGTACCAAATGGACAACTTGTCGGCTTCGGCTTCCTTCCACCCGAAGTTGTTACTCAGATAAAAGGGCAGCCAGAAGAAGAAGGAGTAATTCACCAGCTTCAGGCAGGCGTAGGCCAGGGAGTACTGCAAGAAAATCACAGCTGTCACCACGCAGAGGACAGCACAGGCTGGCCACCTCCCTGACTGGACCCGGAGGCCTCTTCTCCTGACTCCCACTGCTTTCTAAAAAGGCCTTAAATAAATAAATAAATAAATAAATAAATAAATAAAATCACATACAGCTTTTTCTTCACTATCCCCAGTTTCTCTCCTATCATTTCCCTGGCAAAAGCAAGCCAGTGTTTGGAACCCACAAAGCAATGCACACTGTACCCCCATTTCTTTATTCAGACAAAAGGCCCACGGTATCCGTGCTGCCAACCCGCATCAGCTACGGACAAAGCAGCCTAGCAAACATCTCAGCTCACGCTGCAAGCAGTCAGATTTCCGTGATTCTCTTCCTACCACGTTAATGCTGTAAACTATGGAGAGTAATGTGACTCAGTCACAGAAAGACATCCCCCTGAGGACCACTTTCATATTAGAGCTTCCAAAAAGCCCTACATCCCACAAAGGAGAGCATCTCTGGTGGGCCAAAAAGGAAGGGATGTGCTCAGGACTGGCCTCCTGGCTCTCTTTTGAAAGCTGCCTTAAGTGGGTGATGGCTGAGACTCCTGTATCCAACACATTATTACCAGGAAACCCTGACTATTAGCATCAAAGGGGAGGCGGAGGCAGAGGGCTGACTTCAAAGGGTGTCTGGCTAGTACACTCCTGCCCCTGAGCGCCAGCTATTCCCCAGGTGCCATGTGTTTTAAAAGAGCTTCCCTGGCAGGGCAGCAGCCACCCCGTAGAGAGCCAAATCTCAACCAGCAGAGCGCTCTGCCCACAGCCTGCTCCCAAGACAAAGGCGCGGGTTAACTAGACTTCCTTTCCACCCTGCCCCTGCTGGAGAACAATGGCTCGGGAAGTACAAAGGAACCAGCAAATGAGTTTCTTGTTTGGTCACAACAAACCCAAGTTCTGTCTCAACCAAAGCAACTACCAGCCAAACGCTTTAATAACCGGAATTCAGACAGGCTCTTCCTAAGAACAGGGCTACAAGCACCGGGGCTTCCCCGACACGTCACTGTCCTGATTCAAGCATCACAGGGTTGTGTCACACTTACATTGGACTGACACTTGACTACCTGGTGGGAGGGTTAGGCTTTTTAGCAGACAGGCACAGGCAGAAGGGGGCTGAGAGGGACTGAAAAGTGGGGGTGGGGGATGCATACGCATCAGGAAAAGAGGTGACAAGAACAGGTGTTTTGTCGACTACACAAAGAGCCAGTGTTCTAGACCCAGGTAAGACGGGTGTCATCTCCATCCCACAGGAAGGGGAACTGAGTCACAAGGACGGGTTGGGTGACTTACCCAGGTCTCACAGAAAGTTAGTGGGCAAGCTGGAAACACAAACTAGGCCTCTTAACTTCCACTCCAGTGGTAGCCAGACACCCAAAACATCAAGACAGATAGACTGCCGCAGAAGGGGTTCGCCTCAGACGGAGGTTTTCCTGACTGCAAAGGTTGTGGAGACACTGGGGTTTGATACCAAGAAATACTGAGTGTCTGTCCTGGACAGGGTGACTCCCCACTCCCTGGGGTGACCAGAAGTCACAAATGAGGCAGAGAGTGAACCGTCCAAACCCTTCTGGGTCCACGTAAATTCAACAGACTCAAAACACATATTTAAAAACTTGTCATTTTTGCCTTTGGAGCTGCATGCTAGATCAGGGTCAGCAGGTTCACGGGTCACATCTGGCCATGCCCATCTGCAGCTTCTGTGTGCTACAGAGTCAAGGGATTAAACTAAGATTTTTCAGTTCCCCCAGAGCTACAAATATTCAGTCATCATGGCTCTCAGGGAAGCGGAGGGATGCTACACAATCTCAAATACACGGGTAAAATGAAGGCGGCTTCCCTGGCCGACTGTGGAAGCAGACAGGCGAGTCCTTACCGGTATGACTCCAGGGAGGCAGCAAGCCTGGTGAAAGCTTATTGCCGTCACTTGGGTGGCAGCCCCGTCCTCTTGGATGGAATAATTTGGCTCATATCCATCTTCCTCTTCAGCACCACTAATGAGGGGCCTGTGTGAATCCTCCTCCGAGCCTTCTTCTGCCTCAATACTTGGGAGACCTGGGACAGTACCAACAGTGACCATTTACAGAGCACGACCTGTATGCCTAGGCCTGCGCCAGGCTCCCATACACCACCGCTTACAGAGTTGATGCTGTTGTTATTTTCCTTGTGTAGAAGACCCAGCTAAGCTCCAGAGACCAAGGACAAGCAAAGCCAATTAAGGCCCCAGAGCCTGTCACTCAAAGCTCAGAAGAGCTGCACACCCTTCTGCTCCTGTGGCTTCACTTGTACACACTCCATATTTAACCACAAGAAAATATCAAACTGAATCAATTTCTAAAGGAAAAGAATCCAGTCTCAAGATGTTACATTCTTTTTTTTTTTTTTTTTTTTTTTTTTTTTTGGTTTTTCGAGACAGGGTTTCTCTGTGTAGCTTTGCGCCTTTCCTGGAGCTCACTCTGTAGCCCAGGCTGGCCTCGAACTCACAGAGATCTGCCTGGCTCTGCCTCCCGAGTGCTGGGAATAAAGGCGTGCGCCACCACCGCCTGGCTAAGATGTTACATTCTTAGCCAGTGTCTCAGTTTCATAAACCGTCTACAAACGTTCGGTTCTTCCTGCACTCATGTGCCTCACTCCCTCAAACCCCTGCGGTGGTAACAGACTTGGCTGTGACCGACAGGATGCACAGGGCGAAACTGTTCCTTGAATGCCCTGAGAGCAGCGTGCAGCTTTCCTCCAGGAATTCCTGTCCTGTCCTTGGACTTCCCTCAGCTCCTAACAGTAAGGTATCCTGAACGGAAGAGATGGCTTCTCCTCACCGATTTCTTCTGGCGACACCAGCAGTCCAAAGAAGATGACGACCCCGCCAGCAAACTGCACAGTCGCGGTCACCAGAAAGGCATACTGGAGGAAGAGAGAGAGGGCTGAGGTGGTCCTTACACAGCCGTGTTCATGAGACACACGACGGGGAGGACTTCAGTACCCGGGGCTTCCAGGCTAGGCACCAAGCCAACTGTTCTTACATGTGACTCCCCACTGCATTTTCCTAAGGACATGGTGAGGCTCACAGAGGACCGTGAGGGTCCCCTGGATACTAAGTGTCACTATTAGGATTGAAAAATCAGGATTAGTCCCCCAAATCTCAATCTTTTCATCATCCATACTCCTACAAAGACATAACATCTGCCCTCGAAGATATTATACCCAGCTGAGGGGATTAACCAATGCCCAACACAATACGAAAAGGTGGCATGAAGCCAAATGAACAGGAAGACCCAGCCCTAGTAGAAACAGAGAGGATTCAAGAGGAATCAGGTAAAAGCAGGCTGACACGGGAGATGATGTTGTTTAAGGACACGGTGGAGAATCCTCTCCACCCCAGGGGACGAGATGCTGGCACCCTGGGGACGAAATGCCATTCACTGTATGCCTGGGGAGGGCCGCTGCCCAGGACCACAGCGAAGAGAACCGCCACGGGAGGCGGATGTCGGGATGAGAGACTCAATGGCCAGGCTGCACAGCCGTCTTAATGACACAGACAATGAGACAGAATTTTTAAACAACTGAACAACAAAATTAAAGGCGTATTTCCAGATGCTAGATCCAGGAGCAGCACAGGAATGAGTGAAATTCACACTTGAACCAATTAGTACAATCCAGGTGTGACAGATGTAAAAAAGTCTGGGGGGGGAGGTGACTGTGACAGATGATGGGCTTCACCTGGACCAAAATACCTACTCTCTGAAGGAGCAACTTACTTTTTTTTTTTTTTTTTTTTTTTTTTGGTTTTTCGAGACAGGGTTTCTCTGTGTAGCTTTGCGCCTTTCCTGGAGCTCACTTGGTAGCCCAGGCTGGCCTCGAACTCACAGAGATCCGCCTGGCTCTGCCTCCCGAGTGCTGGGATTAAAGGCGTGCGCCACCAACGCCCGGCTTCAACTTACTTTTAATCACTTAGGTTTCTAACTGGCAATCTAGTCAAGAACATAAGCATTATGGTGTGGAGTAAATCCCTTCTGCCCGATCCCTTCCCAACCCATCCAACTCTCAACTGCCCGAACACATAAACGCTGCCGCATAGTTTTTGTTCTCCAGGGGCCGTTAGGAAACACACAAGCTAATGCAACCATCACCACTCTTCCTTTCTCCAAAGGGCATCCCGGGGCACACTGCCTGGCCTGCCTGCTGTCTGTGAGATCTTCCCAGTGTCTTGCTCTCTTTAGTTAGAGGTTCTGATCCCAAAGTCACAGCTGCATGGACGGCATCCTCCAACAGGCGCATCAGAGTTTAAATACTCCCCTGTCGGCTGACATTGAACGTCAAGCTTTGGCTCTGATACACTGTGTTGCGGTAGCTGCAGATAACACTTGATGTACACGTGTGTGCACATTCACGGGTGCCGACACTTCCCAGAGGTGGACCAGCCTGGTCAGGGCCGCCGTAACCTGACAGACATTGCCAACAACAGCCATGGCCATTGCTTCACAACCTCAGGATCACAACAACTTACCAACCTGTATTTTACCAAACCACTAAACACACAATATAGTCTTTCTGTCGTTCCCTTATTTCCTTAATTTTCTATAAAAATAATTTACTGGTTTAAAAAACCCCAACTGTACCTTCCCTAACTTTCAGACAATCTGCATGCTTCTTATTCTTCATTCCCACATAGGAACATTAGACGGCCGAACAAAGACTGCTCAGCTCTCCACACACTTAGCACTGTAACAGAGCCAGTGCGCCCAGCTTCTTGTTCTGTTGGCTTTAGGGACCATGTTCTGGGAGTTTCACTTCTGGCATCACTTAGACTCCTTGGGATATTTGGGATGGATGCCTAGGGCTTCTTGGCCATTTGATTCCTCAGGAATTCAAAGTAGTTGAAACAATGCAAATAATTGGCAACATCTTGTGATGATACTCCCAAAGGCTCAGAGGTCAGAAAGGAGGTGACTGTCTTTATTCCTCTTTCTGCGTGAACAAGCTTACTTCAGTTTGAGCCTGCTGGGGATCCACTACACCACCCTATTCAGAGTCTGCCAAATACTCAGCAGACTGAACATGCCCCACCCCAAAGGCTTCCTCCCATCTACATGGACTGGAGATGGCTCTCCACAACCACGATGGACCACTGGCAGCTGGGCTGCCGAGGCACACACCCACTCTTGCTCAGTACTCATAATTTTATCATCTTTTCCCTTCTTATATAACATTCTTTTTTTTTTTTTTTTTTTTTTTTTTTTGGTTTTTCGAGACAGCGCTTCTCCATGTTGTGTTGGAGCCTGTCCTGGATCTTGCTCTGTGGACCAGGCTGGCCTCGAACTCACAGAGATCTGCCTGGCTCTGCCTCCCAAGTGCCGGGATTAAAGGCGTGCACCACAGCTGCCCAGCTTGAATTACATTCTTGAAAGACTTCCACGCTGGGCATTCCACTTGAGCGTTAGTGTCCATCACACAGCCCAAGGCCCCTGCAAACCAAGTTAGCTTCCTTCTGTCAATAACATCACACGCCGCGGCCTCTTCTCGCCAGGCATGGGGGTGCACGCCTGTAATCGTGGCACTTGGACAGAACAAAGAGGACAAGGAGTACTTCAAGGTCACCCTGGATTAAACAGCAAGAGCAAGTGTCCACATACAAACCGTGAAAGAAACACCCACCTCATAGCCATACTGCAGAACAGATGAAGCCAGGCACGCTCCCAAAATATTGCCCACTGAAGCACAGGCACTCCAGAGACCAAAGACAACTCCTCGGCTAAGAAGAACAACGGAAAAACCAAGACAATGCGTCAGGGATTCTACGTGCAGACAAAATGAAAAATGGCCAAAACAGTAAAGACGTGCACTACAAAGAATCAACATTCTATTTAAAGTTTTGAAAAATATACCAGAATGATAAAACCAGATTCTTCTAAGATTTAATGATACTAAATTTTCATTTAGGGGTTAGACGTTTAATGCAGAGGCGGAGCCCTTGCAGAGCAATAGCGAAGTCTTAAGAACTGAAGAAGAAGAAAAGAATTGAAGAAAAGACGCCAGGTATAGTGGCTTACGCCTCTGATCCCTGCACTTGGAAGGCTAGGGTCGGATTGCAGCCAGTTCAAGGCACCCATGCTACATGGCAGGACCCTGTCTCAAGAAAAACAAACACAAAAAAAGATGAAAAGCTCCAGTACTATAAAAATACTAAAACCCATCAAGGGGGTCACGGAGCGGGTAAGTAAGCAAGCCAGGACCTAGGTGCATGACTCAGAAGAATCTGGCCTACGAGAACTGGAATTTTTTTTTTTTCCAGCACTCCCAATCTCAGTGGACGCCGTGGATTACTGTTAAGGTTCCCAAGAAGTCAGCGTCTAAAGCAGTACTGGCCTGACTTGTCTTGTCTCACTGCAGCTGCTTCTTTAACATCAGTCTGCCAGGCCCTTATGAGGCCAGAGCAAGAGGATTACAAGTTCAAGACCAGCCTGGGCTCTAGAGTAAGACCCCCACCCCACAGGCTTCCTCCCATCTGCACGGACTTTAGTTGGCTGTGTGACTGGAGATGGAAGGTCCCTTCAGAGGCTCTGCACACCCACGAGGGACCACGGGCCGTGGGCTGCCGAGGGGCACACCCACTCGCACTCAGTACTCATAATTTACCATCTTTTCCCTTCTTGCATTACATTCTTGAAAGACTTCCACGCTGGGCTACAACTTGAGCGTTAGTGTCCATCACACAGCCCAAGGCTCCTGCAAACCAAGTTAGCTTCCTTCTGTCAATAACATCACACGCCGCGGCCTCTTCTTGCCAGGCATGGTGGAGCACGCCTGTAATCATGGCACTTGGGAGGCAGAGCCAGGCGGATCTCTGTGAGTTCGAGGCCAGCCTGGTCTACAGAGTGAGATCCAGCACAGACACCAAAACTACACAGAGAAACCCCTGTCTCCAAAAAAAACAAAACAAAACAGCTAAAGCACAAAGCAAGCCTGGATCCTTCAACTTTTCACCCTGTACACTCAGCATGCCTTCTTCCAGGATGGCGTGGAGGATTCATCAGCAGGTACCTTCCTCCCTCCTGCAGTTACACACACCACACATGCCAAGTCCAACCTACTCTAACATGAAGGTTGAGGGGTAGGGAGGTGCTGTAAGCCCGCCCCAAATTGTGACAACATCTGAATTAGAGCCCTCTTTTGGTGACCAAAGACACGCCACATGAATATCTTTTTCTTCTGTGCTAGCAGTATCTTCTACACGCTACACACGTGCTCTACTACGGGGCAATGCCCCCAACCTTCAAGGCGGAGGTTCCTTACTGTTAATGCAATGACAAGGAAACCATAGAGCCTCAAAATACGGCAAAGGACTAACCTCAAAGGAACATGCATAATGGATGGCATTCGGGTGGGACTATTACAGTTTCTAAAGGAGAGAGGCGTAAGAAGAATGAACTGGGAAGTACGGCCTTAGCAACGTGCCTCACTGGGTGTCCACAGAACATCACTGAGGTCCACACACACTCTGCCGCGGACCTTCTATCCCAGACCTGCTCTGTCTAAAACAGAGACAAGATGAGGCATGCTCTAGAGCACCCAGTTCAGAGTTCGAGCAGACTCAGTGACCCAACAGTAGTGCAACCAGAGGAAGGGGCGCCATACCCAGCCTTGCCAAACCAGTTGCCCATCACAGCAACCACGCAGGGCCAGCCAGTGGACTGCAGCAGGCCGTTCACGATCCACAGGCCGCAGTACAGCCACTTGTTGTAGAAATGCAGCCACTCCGTAAGGGTGCCAAAGACAAACACCTTCAAGAGAAGGAAAGAAAGGGACATGCGGCATCACACAGACACTTTCAACACACCCAGCTGCTTTTCAGGATACACGAAAAATCTATCTGTGGGGTGGGCAAATGGCTCAGTGGGTAAGTATGCTTGCTACGAAAGCACGAAGACCCAAGTTCCAATCCCTTTTAAAACTGGAGTGTGGTCTCGTGTCCCCTTGTAACCCAGTGCTATGTGGGATGCGAACAGAAAAATTACTGGGGCTCACTAGATGCCAGCCAAGCTCCAGGTTCAGTGAAAGACTCTGCCTTAAGAAAATAAGTGGGGGGGGGGGGGACGCTGGAGATATGGCTCAGAGATTAAGAGCACTGGCTGCTCTTCCAGAGGTCCTGAGTTCAATTCCCAGCACCCACATGGAGGCTCACAACCATCTATAGTGGGATCTGGTTCCCTCTTCTGGCCTGCAGGCTGAACACTGTCTATACATAATAAATAAATAAATCTTTAAAAGAAAGAAAGAAAGAAAGAAAGAAAGAAGGAAGGAAGGAAGGAAGGAAGGAAGGAAGGAAGGAAGGAAGGAAGGAAGGAAGGAAGGAAGGAGAAGGGAAGGGAAGGGAAGGGAAGGGAAGGGAAGGGAAGGAAAGGAAAGGAAAGGAAAGGAAAGGAAAGGAAAGGAAAGGAAAGGAAAGGAAAGGAAAGGAAAGGAAAGGAAAGGA